ATAACTCGTGGGACCGGGGCCGCACCCATATACATACACACACACACTACACCTTAGAATGAATCTTGATATTCACATTATCATTAAAAACGGAAGCATATATCGAAAATCCTAGTTACTAGACTCGAGCATTCTTGATTAACTTCAAATGTATAATATCGCATAAAACGAAAAAAAATGACGGGAAATTTTACCCGAGCAAATCATTCACTTTTCGACAAGATACACAACAGAAGCTTCCATCGAGCCCCTTATCCTGCCTATCCTTTAATATACCAGAATTCTCGTGACGTAAGGCGCATTCCAGGTGGCAAGACATACCACACGAAACACCAACAAACGGAGGGTCCGAATTGCAAATTAACCAAAGACTAGGGTCCTTATTGTCATCATATTGTCGGCAAATACAGCACGAGCACCTTTTGCAGAACAAGTCTCCCCGATTCAGTTTCGCCTTACAAGCCGAATTCTTGCAATACACTGTCTTATTATTATAATTATTATTACTATTATAATTTTCGGAGTCAATATCAGGAGCACTAGTTGTTGCGGCAGCATCTGATTTCCTCTGCCTTTTGGGAATCCTTTCGCAGTCTTCCGTCTCCATTTCAGAAACGTTTTTTGCGGATTTCTTTTCGTATACAATTTTGAGAAGGTGTTCGATAATTTTCGACTTTGTTAAGCCGGTGTACTTTCTTTCTTTTCCCAGCTCTGCGCAGAGGATCTGCAGTATCTCGTGTCGGCTCCAGGCGTGGAGCATTTCCGTGGCGCCATCTGGCGAATTCGACACGTGGTAGACTAAGTCCCTCTTCTCATCTATGCTCAGTTTGCTGCACCTCAATGGATCGTAAACCAACGCTGCGTAAATAAAAAAAGGACGAAAAATTCATCACAAACGTATATTATTGGTTTTCGAAGATTATCCACTCGGATAACACAGTTACTATTCGAGACTCCATATAACTGCATAAACTAAGCATTTGTGCAATTTTTAAAAGCCTAACCGAAGAGCAACCAATATTTTAAGAATAAAATCGAAGAAATAAGAATAAAGTAGTAAAAGTTTATTCGTACTATCACGAGTCGAGTATACACAGATACACATTTTCGGGTTTAACGGGTTATAAGCTTTCGGGTATATATAGAAAGAAAAGCTAATTCGAGCCATCGACGGTAACTGATCTACATGCACATAGTACATTACACCAAACCCGAAAACCGAAATTTCCGAAATAATTCGAGTAATCAATCGATGGGACTAGTAAAAATCAATCCCTAATTTTATCACGATTTTTTTTTAATTCAACAATTATAGCCAACCAACCAACCATCTTGCAAAAGATGAAAGGGAGATAACAATGAAAACCAGAAAGCGACAGCTGGCAATCCATGGGACCTTCACCACAGTCGATCACTTATTACAATAAAAAGGCTAATAAATTACAAAAATAAAAAAATAATAATAAAAAAATAAAATAAAAGAGGCAACAATGGAGTGTGTGCGTCGAATGTATGAGCATGCGTGTCTGTCTCTGTGTGGCGTCAATTTCATCGGAATATATAAATTAAATAAATTAATCAATTTCAAGAAACACAAAAATCA